TGGGTTCTGACTCATAGCAACCCTGTATAGGGTTTCTAAGGAGCAGCTGGTGGGTTTTAACCACCAAACTTGTGGTTCACAGTCCACTTCTGATCCTACAGCACCACACCAAGAGTGCAAAGGTAACATTTGGACAAAATCTGAGGGAGGTTACTGTTTTGTTAAATGCTGCTGGGCTGGTCCTGACTCATAGAGTTCCTCCGTAGGGTTTTTAAGGAGAAGGTGATGGGTTTGAACCACCAACCTTTCAATTATCAGTCCATGGCTTAGCCTACAGTGCCACACCATGACTATACATATAGACCTAGATACAGACTATGTCAAGAACAATAGCTGTACATTTTAATATTTTTGTTTAATAAAGCTTTCTATGATTTTGCAGCAATTCTTTTTAATGTACTCTCATTATGCAAGTTTACAAAACAAAAGCGGCAACAGGATAAAAATTGATCATATAATTTTCAATGAACAGAGGGGAAAGGAAATAAATACACAAAATACAGAGTCAATCCAGTTACCTGCAGTGTCTTTCTGAGAGGGTTTTTTCTCTGTCGCCCTCTTACTGTAGATCCCCTCTTCATGTTTAATGTTCACAGCATCTGACAGGTCATCATCCCTCGTGCCTAGCACCTGAGCTGGGAAGTCTGGAGCAATGGCGTCATTGGATCCTACAGAAAAGAGGGAAAAATACAATGAACATGTATGTAGAAGGAGAGTTGAAAAAAGACTTAACTATTTTTTAATTTAAATCTTCAATAATTTCGATAGGAAGAAAACACACTATCATGGGCGTTATGAAGGGTGATCAGACAGGTAGGGCTATAAAACTAAGGCAAAAAGATGCGTATAATAAATTACAACAATACCAGAGGAGGAAGCAAATGACACGTGAGAAGGTGTATAAAGTGGAACATAAGTTCAGAACGGAGGTTTTTGGAGGAAAAAGAAAATGGAAAGTAAGTAGGCTTTTTGATACAGGACGAGGAAAGGAGAAGGAGGAAGAAAAAGATGTGAGACACAGATTATAGATGAGCAAAGATGGTAGGAAAGTGAAAACTGGAGGAATAGAAGATACTTTTATGATCAGGCTAGATTACATAATATAGCAAGGAGAGTTGCTGTTGTTGTTGCTATGTGCCGTGGAGTTGGTTCTGACTTATAACGACCCCGTACAGGGTTTCCAAGGCTATAAATCTTTACGGGAGCAGAAAGTCTCATCTTTCTCCCGCAGAACCACTGGTAGTTTCGAACTGCTGACCCTGAGGATAGCAGCCCGATTCGTACCACTACGCTACCAGAGTTCCTTAAGGAGAGTGGTGATAGGTTATTAAAAAAAATAATAAAATTTAGCCGGACATAGAATTCCAAGATTATTACAAGTTTTTAAATAAAGGAATAATAAAATCAGCTATGTTGGAAAGATTAATCTGCAAATATAAAAGACCAAGCATTGAAAAAAAAATACAAAATAAATAAATAAATAAAGGATTTAAAATATACCATTTTCTTTAAAAATATATTTTAACTGTCCCATAGTCATTATAAAGTGAAGCTTATCTTATTTTCATCCCCTGTCTAAAAGGCAAAGGAGCATCTCTGGATATATAAATGCTTGTAGCAAATACAGAATTATCTTTGACAAAAGATAATTTTTCTTTCTCATCTGGGATCTTGTACTTTCTGAGTCCCTAACACATGCGTATGGTAATAAAGCTTGGTAAGCATTAGTTTCATCAATACAGTGCAAATAAAAATAAGCCACAGTGAGTTTTCAGTACAGATTTCAAGGACCATAAGTGTGGTGCTGCAGGATAATGTGCTGGACTGCGAGGTTGATTTGAATCACAAGTTCAGCGGTTCAAACTCACCAGCCGCTCCTTGGAAACCCTACAGAGGTATATACCTAACAGTGGTATATTTATGGTTAATGCTTTAAGAAAATGCTTAAGTGTTTTCTAAAGTGGCTGTACTATTTTAAGATTCAAATAGCAGTTCTACTGCCTTCACATACTTGTTCTTTCCCTTCAAAAAAGAAATGATAGCTGGCCTCCTAATTTGTGTGAAGCGGCATCTCAATGTGGTTTTGAACCACATTTTCTTAACGACAAGGGTTTTCCTCCTTTACTTTACCATTTCTATTGTTTGTTTAACTACTATATGTGTGAGAGTGTGTGTTCGAGTCTGTCTTGACATCCATTTTGGTCTTTTTCTTTTTAAAAGATCTCACTGATAGCTTCCCACAATTTTTCTGGTCTTCAGTCATTAGGGTCCAAGTACATTAAATCTTTTCTTGAAGTGGTCTCTAAATTTAAGTGGGATATATTCAAGTAAAGTATTAAAAATAAAAGTACAAAAACCTGGAGTTTTTAGAAAAATAAAAGGGAAAAATGTGATCAACATTCCTGAAGTTGAATAAACTGAAAAAAAAATTCATGTCTTCAGTTACATTACTGAAGGATATTAAGAGCGAAAGAGTGAATGATTCAGGAAGCATCAAAATAAGATGGAAGAAATACACAGGGTCACTGTACCAGCAAGGATTATACTTGAGGAATAGCATATTATCAAGAACCAATGGTACCGAAGGAAGAAGTGCAAAGTGCACATGAAGACACTAGCAAAAAATAAAAACCCAAGAATTGACAGAATACAATTAAGACGCTTCAACAAACAGACGCAGCACAGGAAGCATTTACTGGTTTATGTCAAGGAATTTGGAAGACAGCTATCTGGCCAACCAAGTGGAAGAAACACATATTCATTCATACTCAATTCTAAAAAAAAAATGACCAAGTGGAATGCATAAACTATTGGAGTGGGAAACTAGGAGAAATTATAAGAATTGACACATTCAAATTGTGCTATTGACAAAAAATATTGAACCACCAGAACCAAAGTAGTTTTGGCAGGTGCTGTGCAGAACACTCTTTAGAAATGAGGATGGGGCAATTTTGTTACGTTTACTTTGGAGGGACCAAATGCTGGAGAAGGATAGCATGCTTGCTAAGCAAATGGTCAGTGAAAAAGAGGAAGATTCTCACTGAGATGGACTAACAAAGTGGTTGCAACAACGATTGTGAAGATGGCACGGATGGGTCAACATATTTTTCTGTTACACATAAGACTGTTAGAATGAACTTGATGGCTGCTAACAACAACCCAATTACCAGAAGCTAGTCTGGTTCTCTTTCATATAAAATTAACAAACAAATCTGCCTAGAACCTGGGAAAACTGGTCCTTTGTGGGAAATTTCTACACACACACACACACACACACAGATGTCTATTAACAAATCATGAGTAAAACAATTTATGTCTAAACCAAAGTAAGTTATTTTCTGTGGAATATTTAAAATGCTATCCCACCAGCCAAAACTGCGTACAACACTAACTCAGTATGCTTGTCTTAAAATCCTGACAGGAAATATAGATTTAGTTCCTCAATGGATTGCTAATCATTTCCTATATTTGTAGTTCTCCTGCAAGATATTTTTTAATTCTAGGGAAACGACAATGATAAATGATCCCTGGTGCAGATGCATAAAATACCATTTTAAATTCGTTGAAAGTTTCAATATTAGATTGCTACATTACTTTTAAATGTTGGCTGCTGCTATAGCAAAAAGCAGTAAACGAGGGTGGTTGCATCCAATCCCACTTCAAGGCTTGAGAAGTTAGTTATATATAGAGTGTCCAACAGCTGGACACATCTCATTAGTGAGGAGGTGTGATTATTAAGGAAAAAATATTTTCTTTTAAAAACAAGTCACAAAGAAACACCTAAAGGTTTTGTTTATTAAATTGCTAAATCAAAGGTAAATAGGGTCCTATTAACTTTGTGGTTCTTTGAAAAAAGAATATACATAAATAGTTATTTATAAACATTTATGTATGTATGTATGTATGTATGTATTTATTTGCCTAGGGATGCCAAGGAGGGGAAAGATTATCACTAAAACACAAAAATTAGAAACCTTTGTCCTAGATGGAGTCTACTAACTCAAACAATTGCTATATAATTGTATTCATCAAATATTTATTAAATTTTAAGTGCACATAATCTATAAGATCAAGTGACTTATCTAAACCAGAGACTAAGGCATGAAAAATGCCATTATTTTCAGCGATGGGAAATTTGGCATTGATCAAGGGTATTGGGTACACAATGTATACACCTGAGAAATCATTGAATTGTCTTATGTATATTTGTACAACAATTATTAAAGAAAGAAGAGCAAAGAAATTATTTAAAAAAATAAATAAAAGCTCCATATTTCATTTATCGCTTAAATAAACTGAAATTTCATATGTCATTCTTGAGTCAACCAGTCAGTGCATAAATCAAACTTCAAACAATCAAGTTTTGAATTTTTTAGCATACCTGAGTGTGTGCTTTCAAGAGTAGTGTCTGATTTGGCTTCCAGGAACTGAGGAATTTTTTCTAACTGTGGAACATAGTACATCTTTGTACTTCCAGGAGGCTTATATGGCAACAGTGAAGGCTGAGCTGTGGAGGTAAAGATCAAAACAATAAAAACACTATTCAATACTGAATGGCTACCATGTGCCCTGAAATGTACCGATGAACCAAACAGAGAGATTATCTCTGCATTCAATAGGAAATAGCATTTCAGTGAAGAGAGAAATATTGTCAACAATTAACATAATAAATAAGTAAATTATTTAGTATTTTAACAATTTATAAATGTTCTAGAGGGTAAAAAAGAACAACAAGAAAATGCTGAGTAAGACTAGAATACTAAAAAAATTGGGGAAGGGTGCAATTTTCAAGTGTGGTCAGGGTAGGTTTCATTGAGAAAATGAGTTTTCAGGAATTTATTCCATATATAAATGACTTTAACTGAAAAACACTTAACCTGATATTGGACCAACATCTGGTTGTTGTTAACTAAGACTATTAATCTTATGGTCTTAAGTCTGTCTGTATTAAAGTCACCAAAAATATTTTGTGTGACCAATCTTCACAATCAAGTATCTTGAATTTGCTATTATAAAAGTAATAAACTCTCAATATTAAAAAAGTATGTAAAAGTGAAAAAGACAAAGTTCAACCATTCAAAGCTAAGCAACTATTAACATTTTAACACGTTTCTTTCTAGCATTTCCCTGTTTCTGGTTTATACAGCAGTCTGGGAGCAGCAAGTACAGGATGCTTACTATGAATTTCCAATTTTCTGCTTGATATTTTTCATTACAAATCATTTTTTCCTATTCGTCACAGTTTTTCATACAATTATACCACAGACTGGAATTCTGGTGTGGCGATGTAGGATAAGCACAAATTTACCAGCTGCTCCTTAGAAACCCTACAAAGGGTTGCTAAAAGAGTTGGAACCAACATGAAGGCACTTAATCAAATACCACATATTAACTACATATTCAATTTGCCCTTCCTCTAACAGTACAATTATAGTCTGAAAAAAAGTCTTTGTTAATGGAGGTAAATAGACTCTTAGTAATTTTACACCGGTTGTTGTTTTTGTTAAGTGCCATTGAGCTGGTTCCGACTCATGGTGACCCAGTATAGGGTTTCAGAGGAGTGGCTGGTGGGTTTGAACTACCAACCTACCTTTCAGTTAGCAATGCTTATCCTACAGTGCCACTCTTTTTTTTTTTTAATGTTTTATTGTGAATTATATGATAGTTTAACTGGGAGAACATTAGTTTTACATTCATTCTATTGTATATTGCTTCATTGCCATGGTTCCAATCCC